GTTTCATACAACATTAAACGAATCGTTAATAAATATAACATACAGATTTCCTTCAGAAATAGCAATACCACAAAACATATGCTATTTAACGCAAAAGATAAGACAAACAAATTACAAAAAAGTGGAGTATATAAATTAAAGTGTAATGACTGTAATGCTTCCTACATAGGTCAAACAGGGAGAACACTAGAACAACGCATCAAGGAGCACATAGCACAAACAGAAATAAGAGATGGCGAAAGGATACTTAAATCGAATTTTGGTAGACATTTGAAAGAAAATAACCATGCTTTTAACCAACAAGAGGATGCAGAACTAATAAATTAATTAAACAAGGGAACAAAGTTAGAACTTCATGAACAGTATGAAATAGATAGATTAAGAAAGACTAAACCAGACATAATATGTTTGAATGATTAGACACAATTGAACAAGATACCACTTTACACCTTCCTCAAATACCCTTTCAAAAAACCCCTATGATGCCGAGGGTTTCTTCATCTTGTCCGTGTGGAGGCTCCGCACTTCATGGGATCCCAACGGCTACTTTCCCAGCCCACCTTTATTTCTCCTTCCCCCCCCCCCTTTTTCCTCTATAGTTCATTTATTTATAGAATATTAATGACAACTTCTTCAAAATTCATATTTAAACCTAAGAGTTTGACCATCCTCAACACGCATGCGTACCATATAGTTAATACTGCGCAAGACCACTAACACCAAGCACACCTCTTCCCAAAATTGTTCGCTCTCGAGTAAAACTAAATAATTATTGATAAAATTGTTAATCCAAACCATCATTTGTTTATATTTAAAAAGACTACTACAGTAAGCATATTGATTGTACCGCACATGGATAGAATGACGTATATTTTATGTTGACATAACCAAAAAGGACGAAGTAAGTTAGACACATGTTCTTTAATAATATTCAGGTTTGTTACACTTTGTTTCATTTAATTTATATTCAATTTGTTAATCTTGATGTTAATTTCAAAAATTCTACTCATATTAATAATATTTACAATTGTAACAACACAAAATGATTTCTGTACCTTTATGTTTAATTTTGTAGTGCCTCCGAAGATGGCGTAGATCGCCGAAACGCGTCAGGCAGAGTTTTAAATTATCTATCAATAAAAGCATAAAAACATACATGACTTTTTCATATTTATACATATTGATAACAAGGATCCACAAAATGAAATATTCATATTAGTTTTGAAGTTTTATGTTTTTAGACGTATTAATATCTATTACAGTTATCAGGCGTGGCAAATAGTGTGACGTAGAGTGCGGGCAACCAACCCGTAGTTGACTACAAAAATACAATGGATGTAGCAGTCCTGTTAGATTCTACTGTCCTTGCTAGAAACATTGGCAATAATTGGAAACAATGCTTTCCCTCATGGTATGGTTATCACCATAACAACATTAAGTTTTAAATACATACAATAGTTTTAGAAAGAACAAAAAAAATTGATACATTATATTCCATCATAGTATGTATGGTTATCACCATAGCAACATTAACTTTTAAATACATACATTAGATTTAGATGGAACAAAATGAATTTTTGTTAATTATTCAATAACTATAAGAAATATACCCCACAAACTATATATATTTGTTATCAGAAGAAAATAACAAATTATTTTAAGTCATAGCCAACTATGGTTTCCATTTAAAAAAATAAAGTTACTTCTAAAATCTCGAAAATAAAAGAGGGGAAAAAAATTCTATCTACGCCACTGAATTCTTCGTAAAAAGTAGCCCATATAATGTTTTATTTATAATACTCCATCTTTGATAATAAGTGAGATATTTGCGAATATCGTTTTCGCAAAATTTTCAGTTTTTGCCGATAGGGCGAAAACAAAGACGATAGCTGTTCGGAGTTTTCGGCATTAGCATTTTCTCGAAAAACGAGATCATGACATGTAAGCTACTTTTTTTCTATCTCTTGTAGTTTCGGAGATAGCCTATGCGGACATCGAAATTGGGACACCCTGTACATGTGAACAATTGATGACTAACGAACGAATACGGTGAAATCGATTGTATGTATTTGGAATTGAAATTGTGCTGCAAATAGTCTCTTGTGGTGATATCGAAACTTAATTAAGCTTGGCGTCTATTTACAGCTTTCCAATGATAATTTCAAGATTAAATTTGTAACGAAATACAGAAGGAATTGGTTTAAAAGAAAATCCACGACTTATTTCTTTTTATTTTCTCTTATTGTTCTTTTAACACCAGCTGCAATCGCATTTTGCTGTTGCGGAGATGAAATCCAAAGTTTTTTCTTTTTAAGTCCGCGCATGCCGATAGCCTATCGCCCAGTCCGGCTGTTAAATCCAATTTAAAACTTCAAACGCGCTACCACTTCGCTTGGTACAGAGGGTTTCGATTGCCAGATTAAACGGCATAGTTGAAGAGCGCCAATTTTGTCGGAAGAGCGCGATTTTCTCATTGTTTGGTTGCGAACTTCGTTATTCGAACGACGAAACGGTCCGGATTAAGGAAAAGTTTATTAGCTTAGAATTTATGTTAGTCGTGTGTAGAGGACGACCCTCCTAATATCGCAGCTTATTTTATATCTCTAAGTTCATTCGAATTGTTCCGAATACGCAAAGTTGTAATATTTTTTAAATGAAAACATGTTGAAGCAATAAAAACGAGGATACAAATCACATAATACTCGGAGTTGTTGAATATTTATGAACACCGTTACCTAGACGATAACACAATTACAACTTGGAATGGTAAAAGTCATTTTACCTATTATTGCGCTCTCTCTAGTTGAGAGAATGGAGTTATTTATTGCATAAATCCTGTTCGTAACCTAACAAAATAAACAACAGTACAATGAACGCAACCCTTTCTCCTGAAACACTCTAAACTCGGTTGATTCCTTGCCATTTGCGTCGCCCTTCTCACCTATACGTAATTGCTTCGCGTTTGTCAACGTGGATATTCCCTTCCCTTAGCCTATTTACACTCCGAACTCGGGAGAGAAGTTCAATCCTCATAAATAAACAATGAAAGTTCGAAATCGGGTTATTTATTCGAGAGAAGGATATCAAGGGGTTTATTATTTCAACCCCAACAAAAATAGACTAGTATTTTCGGGGGCAAAGAAACGTTACAAGAACCGCTCTATGAACACAAAAACCACAAGTCGCTTTACCTTGTGAGAGAATACGCCCACCCTTTCAAATAAAGTGACTCCATAAGCCTCTACACTCCCAAAGGAACGTCACGATGTCATCCGATACCTTCATCTCTACCCACCTCCTTTTTTTTTCATCGCTTTATACCGGCGCATCTCTTGAGTCGTAAAGAAAAGGTGGCATAAATTTGATTTAAGGATGACGTCAGTAGAATAATGGAATGTTATAAAAATACTCAATATTTTCCACAATAACGATATGACCTTGAGGACCAGGCGATAATAGGAAATGTCAAAGAAACTACTCTCTTAAAACTGTTAAAGAACACTACAAGGTGTTAGATACAGTGATTGATTTCAATATATGTACAGTGAATTTCACTTAAGATGCCAGGGCGTACCTACTTACTTTGTCCCATATAAAATGCAACTTTCAAGCAAAACTTTTCCTTTGCAAAACTACCTAATGCCTGTACTATTAAGCTTTGTTACATTTTATGTGGGACAGTGCAAGTGTATAGTAGTTTCGTAACTATGGTTACTGCATTCATATTTTGCGAGTTATATGAAATTTCCGGTATAGTAGATGGTCTCAGTATCCATGGAACGATTTCAGTATCCAAAAATCTTTCTAAATTAGTATGCAAATGCTTTTTTGTAATTCGCGACGGTAATGAAAGCTATAACAGTACTCAAACGGGTGCTGTAATGAGACTCCTTACAGCATCCGATGCTGTAATGAGATTTTAGTAACATTTTATGGAACCAGTTCAAGTTGGTGACATTGGGTCATTAATTTTTCTAGTTGTCAATGTGACAATGGTTTGTCTATGGATGTTTAAACACGTTTTTAGCATCGAATACAAGGTCCACAATGATGAGGACATTGAACTCTGAGCAATTTCTCTTATTTTGGGAGGTGTACATGAAACATTTTTGTCAGGTGAATACATTTTGTGTTTTGACAGTTTCTAATTGTCAATTCAAAGTTTCTATTTTCAAGCGTTCCGGTGTTACCAACTACTACATACCTATTTCCCTATGCAAATGCTTTTACCTATGTCTAAAGGTAAATGTAATGGTTGATAAATGTAACAACGTTTATGACCCATCATTTCAGAGAGAGGTTATAAAACCGAACAAAAAAACCTTTATCGCTTCGGTTATTTGCAGATCCCC